CGGAGGTTTTGAAAACACGCAATCGTACCTCCTGGGGTGTTTCTCGGGAAATCACCCGGATGAAGATCGGCACCAGAAGGTTTCTTTTTTCATTTCGCATTCCTTCATCTGAGGTCTGATGTGAGGTCTTTTCGCTTCCATTTTGGGATTGGGACCTCGAATGCCGTCGGGTCGATAACCTACGGTTTTGCCCGTCCACCCTTGCGTTGGCTACGGTGTTCGAACAGAAACGACTCCAAGAGGGTATCGGCACGACGCGAACGAAATTCGTCGTTCGCGTCGGAGAAAAAAAACTCCAAGTCGTGCTCTCCGTTTCGCCGGAAGGAAGCTCATTACGATTTCCTGGAATCAACGTTCGTGAGACCACGGAAGGAATTCATTTTCAACCACTGGCTGAATCCATCATCGAAGCCAAGTCGAAGCGTGTGCTATCTCCTCGTTCGATTCGCCGACTCGCATTCCCTTTTCGCCGTCCTGCTCTATTTAGCCTCGTCGAAGAGCTGCATTTCAAGGTTAGAGTTGGGACGTGAAGAGGCATTCCCGCCCGCATCCGCTTCGCGAACGTGGGTCTCGCCTCCGAAAAATTCCGTTTCGCAAGCTCGGCCGAAACTCTCGACTCTCACCGACCTCGGTCGTGTCGGTTCGACGACGAGTCGACGAAGAGGAGCCGACGATCGAAACGAGCTCCAGATGTCGAAAAACGACCGCAGACGATCGATGGAGCGTCGTTCGTGGAACCCATCGATTCCGGAACCGAATTTTGGTAGGAATCGATCGCTCGCGAGTAACGGAACGGAGTGGATGAGAGAAGGAAACGAGGAACGGACCCCACCCGCGACGAACGATCGATGACGACGGGATGCTCTGCCATCGACGAAAGATTCACGCATCGGGGACTTCTCGCATCGGAACGATGACGAAGGCGCGAAGACGAGTGCGAAAGCGGGTGACCGTGGAATCGATGCTTGCATGTTGCAGGACGAATCGGCCGAGAACCCCGAAGGTCCGGCCGAATCGAGACGTCTCTCTCTGCTGGGGATGGGACGGAGATCGAAGGACGTGAGTCGGCATCCGCATTTTTACATCTCATTGATCTCCTTACGTGTCGCTCCATCCTCCTGTGCCTAAAAACACGTCGCCCCGATCGGATTCCCTTCGGTCGCACGATCGCTTCCACTCCCGGGGAACGTTCTCTCCGCTTGCACGCCCGGAGATCGAACGGCCGACGAGCACGCGTGCTCGGAATGCGGAACGGCTCGTAGATCTCACCTCTCCGTCATCGCGTGATGCGTATCCATCGACGAGCATTCTCTCGCGGGGAAAAGAAAACGATCGCGAAAAGTAAGTGTTAAAACGCCGAGCAGAGGATGAGGGGCTTCGGAGGTTCACGGTAAGCATACGTTGCGATACGACGGGCCGGATTCTCGGCAGTGGAGGTATGCATAAAACATGCCCTTATCGAGAGAGGTCGGGCCAGGAATAAAATGCCCAAATCCAGTCCTAATGTCATCCAGGACCCAAACGCACCTCATTCCCTAGGCTTGTTTCGGGGGAATTCCCATCGAGTGCGCGAAGACCTTCGTCTGCCAGCGGAGTTCTCTGACGCTTCCCGCCTTAATTCCACCTTCACGAGTGAGTCCATTTTTATTTTCCGAAACGAAAAGGCTCCGCTTCTCCCCCTGTCTTTCGTTAACTCCTCCTCAAATTTCGAAAGGCATAAAGAATATCTTAACGCATTCGCTGCCGGTCGGTTTTGGGTGGTACCTTACTCCCTGTGCCTGCCATTTTTCTGCTCGGAGTCTTTTTTCAAGTTACTGCACAGCAAATACTGCGTTTAAGCACAATCTATTCGAGTTACTGACAATTAAGTTGAAGTGAAGACGTCTATCGATGTTATGGCAGGCACAGGGAGTAAGGTACCACCCAAAACCGACCGGCAGCGAATGCGTTAAGATATTCTTTATGCCTTTCGAAATTTGAGGAGGAGTTAACGAAAGACAGGGGGAGAAGCGGAGCCTTTTCGTCTGAAAAAGGAAGAAAATTGGTGTAAAGACGGAGCTATCCTTTTCGAAGAAAGGAAGCACATGTCGGCGCTCGTCACGAGGACGCCAACAGTCGATCCTCGATCCGCGTTGAGGCCTACATCCGAATGGAGACCCTCTTCCGCAATCGAGATATTTCCTCGATTCCCCTCCCGATCGTCCGATCCCGAACGAGGCCGATTCAAGTAAGAAAGCCTCGAAGGGAATAAAGATTGCTCGCCGTAACTCCTCGGTCTTCTTCGTGTTAATCCCTCAGAAGTTTGTGGAATGTGGCTCGTTTTTACGTCGGTCGCAGTCCTCACGATGAACCTCGTCACGGTGAAAGTATTCTTTAAAACCGTATCGTTCCAACTACAAAAGCTGTCACCCGATGGCCATAAACAGAAATGTCAATTTTCGTGGCAAGATCGGACGATTACTTAACGCTTTTAATGCCAGAGTTGATTAAATCGTCCCTACGAATTTCGTTTAAAAATGCCATCGTCGAAGAACCGGTACAAAAGGATTGAAGTCAGAGAAGAAGCACGATCGAGCGTTCGTGCCGAAAGAAGTTTCTTAATACTCTGATACTAAAAGTGTTAAAGGAAGTGACCTTTCTGGAATCGTCGGCACTGGGCCCGGCGACCTACGATCTTTGACAGTCCTTCGCAGAGCCCGTTTCCCGGGCCGTCGTGGCATTCGCGGAGCTCGCTCGTCGCAACTGGAAACGGAAGTCGAAGGGTTTCCGGTCTGGAGAATGCAAGACGAGCAAAATTTCGTCACTCCAGCTTTCCGAAACGGTGATCGCACTCGGCTCGAGCGGCTGACTTCAGGAATCCTTCTCTCGATCGTAAAACGGGATACGCCGGTCGAGAGGAGTGTGGCCACTGTTTTGGGAAACCGGGGCCGGGATATTTTGCTTCATCCCTTCCTCCCCTCTTCTCGTACTCTCCAGGCCCGAGTCCTCGTATCTCGCGTCTGCTTCCGATCGTGAAGAACGCTTCGACGGCCCGTTCGAATCGATCGAAGGGTATCCAGAAAAATAGGCTCCGCTACGGACCGACGAAGATCGTCGGTCGCTGGATCGAGTGCATCCAACTCGCGAGAGATTGCTTCAAGCGACGAAGCGATCGTGCGACCAAAACGAGTTTTCGTTCGTGGCCGATGGGGCGAAGGAACCTTTTCGTCACCCCTCGTGCCATTAAGTACCACCGGCTCGGATGAAGAGAAGATTGGCTGCTTGCAGAGTCATGGGGATTACTGCTATCTGAGAGAGATCACCGACCAGATCGGAAGCTATTCGCGACTCGCGATTCCCAGATCGAGAGCCAATGGCATAGAGACATGTAATTATGCCTATCGACCAGTATCACCCAAAGTAGCACACAATATTGATTCAATATTGGCCCATTGACTAACTGGAATCGGTTTAGAAATATTAGGCTTATATCGACCCAATGTATTGAATATTTTTGGTCGTTTTGTATCCCGATGTTACAGGGTAATATGGAACCGTCCAAAGGACAGACGAGAAGTAAGGAAAATACATTTATTTAAAGGACTTTTTGGTCCATTTTCACGTGCTGAGTCGATCCAGCGACGAGTTTACTTCTACTGAACTCGCACTATCGTAAAGAACTTGGAGTCATTTCTCATTTTATCGATACTCTTCTCGTACGTTTGAAAACGAACTCTGATTCTGGGATCATCTCAGTGTGATCGAAATCGTTCAGTGTTTCGCTCACTTAAAACTGGACAGGAGGACTGGGGTCATTTTCTGCAGTCGACATCGATACACCCGCGCGATGGGAGAAATACAGGGTGACAAAAAAATGGGATGACGGGAACATATCTCCAAAGTCCCCTCTGAGGTCGGCTGATCTCGGAGTATTCTAAAGGAAGTGCCGCGGTGCGCTTCTAGTGTTCACTCGAGTGTGGCATCCCGTAAACCGTTCACTGGAATCTTTTACTCCTTCTACCGATTCGTTTAAATCATGTGTCATGCATATAAATATTTATCCGAAAATTTTTACATGCGTAAGTTCGCTGGTCTCAGAGAGTGTCATTCGACGAGATTCTCTTTTTTTGCCGCCCTATATATTTTCTAGTACGTGATTCTGCAATTCTGCCAACGATTCGGTGTAAAGCTAACAGGAGCCAAGTCAGGATCTCAAAATTCGATAGCCGTTATGATTCAAAGTTCAAATACTGGTTGTGGAGATGTCACTATATGATTTGAGGCTTTATTGGCCTAAAAACGCCAGAAGACGGGAGAAAAACTGTGATATTCAAGTACCGTCTTTGTCATTTTGCTGAGGGTGAAAATTAAGTCGATGGGCATCCAAGTTTTCCCGAATGTTTTCCTATAGACACGCCGAACATGACAACATTCATATTGCCGTCGTAGTATTTATGAATTCTGCTGACGAAATTCACTGGGCATCCAAAGCAGAATGAGGTAGAGCACCGTCTTCCATAAAACTTTGACATTTGCTAGACTTCTCCCTCAACGTTGCCTCAATGTTCTCAGTGATATTGTCATCAGAACTGATAAATGTCAAGACGGCAATGGTGGCAATTTAAATTCTGTGGCTTTCTTCAACTATTTATTTAAGGAAAGTCCTTTGACTTAATTGTTATGCTTAGTAAAATAGCAAAGCTAGTATGTGGAAAACTTCGTAAAATTTAAGAAAATCAGTAAGATCCCCCCCCCCTCCCCTTTGTTGTTAAGATATTCTAATTTCAAGGCACGTAGTGACTTTTTATACATATTACATACATGAATACGAGTTGGAGGAAAGGGGAATCGTTGGATTGAGCTCGATGAGCAGTGGTTTCCAACTCTTGGTAATGTCATGCAGCGTAGAGCGTTTTAAATATGGGACAAATATAATTTCGAATATTGCAATTGGCCCAATCTTGGAGTTAGATTTCTCCCAATATTGTGTCAATAATGTTGTGCTGCTTTGGGTCGAAGGGATGCGAAAGGCAGCGGAGAGAGTGGAGGACGCAGAGCCAGCATGGAGGAATTATGTTATCCCTCGTGCCACCCTCTCTCACCAAATTGACGGAGGGGTGGGAAGGGCAATGGTGAATGGAGGACGCAGAGTCAGCGTGGAGCAATTATGGTATGCCTCGTGCCAGCCGGTGTCTGTTTTGTCTAAGGCTTTGGGGAGAGAGTCGAAGATGCAGAGTCGGCACGGAGGGGTGAACCCTTCACGTACGGTTGGAATAACGTTATCGTGTCTTGTGTCAGCTTTTGTATTGTCGAAGGGGGTGGGGAAGAGAATGGGAAGTGGAAGAGTCAGCCGGAGGGAATAATGTCGTGTCTCGTGTCAAGAAGTGTCAGTGTATTCTCGAAGGGATCTGGGAGGGAACTCCAAGTGGAAGATGCGGAGTCAGCTGGAGAAATTGTTGTGCCTCCTTTCGGCCTGTCTCTTCGTCTTCATGGCAGCTGCCATCACCATCTCTGTCCTTCTCTATCTCGATCGTCAGTCCATCTCGAGTTCTCGACTCTCAGGAATGTCACGACATCCCTCACGGGATGGCTTCATGGCATCTCTTCTTGCAGTGCGGGAGAAGAGAGAAACCATCGATGACTTGGAAAACAAGGCCGAAGTCTGCACCAGCCGTGACTGTGCTCTAGCAGGTATTTTATGCGCTCTTCCTTCGTCTACTGGATGGATCTCCATGCTACGTGAACAGACGCAGAACTATTAATTTTGAATATTGTATCTTCTAGCTGGGAATATCCTGTCGTCCATGGATACGTCTGTGGATCCCTGCGAAGATTTCTACACCTACGCCTGCGGGAGATGGATACGAGAAAATCCCATTCCAGATTTCCTTTCTCGGTGGGGCAGATTCGATCAGATGGAAAGAGATGTCTCCTATGATCTCCGAGGTTTGTCACCTTTCTCCTTCTAACATCTATCGCTTGAGGAGCAAATGACAACTGTGGCAGCAAAATGGATAGATCTTGTACTACTCTTTGAATCGACTCTTGCAGAACATATAAATATTTATTAAATCCACGTTTCATAGTGAATCAGGGAGACACTTCCCTTCATAAATGATGTGAAAGGTGGAATTTTTACTTTTCATTTGACTCTATTAAAGATCTTTGGGAATATGGACCGATTCTCCCTCCTGTAGAGGAAATGACAAATGAGGCCTCATCAAGTGATGTCAAAGTCTCCAAGCCATCGAGTTTTGTGCTGTTAGTAGGGTCTTATAATAATAAAAAAGTGCATTACGAACGAAAACGAGACAAGTAAAAGGAATCAAAAGCTAAAGAGTTGCTTCTCCAGTTATGAAGTGAGGGAGCAGTTGCAAGAGCAGTACGAGTATACCGCCAGAACGCTCGCATTCTAAGAAAGAGGTTGGCCTACTGCGTGCAACTTGGAATTGCCCGTTTGTGTGATGCAAGGAAAATGAATTCCTGGATCCGTTCAGGTATGCAATACGAATCGCTCTCTACGTCGTGGATTCAGAGGATTGTTTACAACATGGAGACGAATTTGAACATGCCCTGCAGCTCTTGTTGGGGTCATAGCTTTCATCTTTCGTCGGTCAGCATGGTGTTGTCTGTTCGTAATATAAAAGTGAAACACCTCGGGAGTCGCTCGAAAAGCCGCACTGGAAGAGAGAGAAGAGGCACGTAAATCGCATCCAGCACGAAAACGAACTTCAGAGACGGTAAAAATGGCCGGTGAACTCGTCCGGGAAGAAAACCCACTGACACAGAGAGGTCTTGCTGAGAATTTGGATGCGTGCCCGACTGACGATGAAGAAGATAGACCTGAGGTCGGAAAAGAAGCCGAAACCCCGTCTCACAAACTGCCACCGTGTCATGTTGCAGAGAGAAAGATCGGTTGCAGAAAGCTCTATGAGTACCATCTAGCTGGAGAAATCTGGACATCGAAATGAGTTTGAGACCCCTGCTCTAGACGAAGCAACAGGACATGTGACGGACAAACACGACAACGAGCGTATTTACACGACACAGAGAGGAAGGCCCGCTTGGCACGAGCACCACAGCTCAATCGCTGTCCCTTAGGCTGGAACACCTCCTCCACCCCTCTACGGTCCTTAGGGGCAGCTCACGGGTTGTCTACGCCCATGACTGGCACGAGCATTTTTTAAGGTGTACTACATTCGTATCTTCTAGACAACGGCATACACGGCGTGTGTGTTACCGCGTTAAGCAAACACTCCCCATGAAAGCAGTTCGTCACCTGTCGGCGGAGGAAGACCCCGCCGCCACACGGACTCGATCCCTCGCCTCCCGGATTTCACTCGGAAGCCAGAACCACTCGACCACCGAACCGGTATCATGGATTTACTTGAGTGGTACGAGGAAACTTCGAACCATATGCCATACTGTACTGGGGAAAACCATTTAAAATGAGGGTCCTGGAGTGCATGGATAGCTGTCGTGGATTCGTGGTTGTTACTGGCTTTTGCTAGAACGAGAAGTTGCAGATCCGCAGACTGGCCAAGAAAGTGAAATTGATTCTCAATATTACCAGGAACAAGTTTTGAGGTGAATTTTTGTAAAGAAAATCCCGGGTCTGGATGGAACAGAGACTCTAAAGTTGTGTGCATCCGGGATGAAGGCATCGAGAGACATCCAGGGCAACTGTTGCATTCTTGACGAAGATGGAAGGCTCCATACGAAGCCAAACCATTCATGGCCATTACTGTGAAGCCCTCAGATGCAGCATCGACGGACTTTTGGGCCTTTGTTTTGTTGAAGCGAACCCTCAGAAAATCGGTGACTTTGCAATTTGGATGTTCTCTGGAAAGTGCTAAAAGAGGAGTGGAGTTGGATCTCACCGTGCTCCGACGAAGGGATTTTCAAGGCTTGTTGCCTTGAAAATTTCCAAGCGACCCACGGGCCGGATCCAACCCACATATTCTTTGCATCCGGCTCCCTTGTCCCTTCCAACGTACCACAAACGCGAGAAAAGGTAAAAAAAAAATCTCTTCTTAGCCCTCCTAGAGGCAAAATGCACTTGGAAGTCCAAAAGAGCAACATGATGATGCCAGATATATTAAATATATAATGAAACAGAGATAAAAGAAAGATGGCCAAGGTTCTCCCACGTTCAGCCTATGAAGTTCCATTGTGCCCTAGGGCAGCGGTTCTTCTTTCAATCGCGACCCACTTGCTGACGTACAGGACATTTCGTGACCGACTCTAGAACGAGGTATTTTCAAAGAAATTATGACAAGAAGAAAACTCATCGACCTTTTCTGTAGGGTATGTTTCATCCTGAGCGGAAACGGATGCAGTGGTTTTTATACGGGGTAAAATGTACGCGACCCACCTTGATGCTTCTCGCGACCCACAGTTTGAGAACCGCTGCCCTAGGGGATGGTCCATGGTACCCGAAGAGCGAAGCACCATGGACCATTTCAACATGACGTTTTAAAAGTTTGCAAAATGGATATAGACTGTGCCGTCAAGTTCCAATTACAGATCATGAGGAAGATAACGACAATATATCATCAAAAGCATTTTTTTTTTTGCAGAATAAATAAATTCTTTGGGACTAAAATCTGAAAAATGATGAATTAAAGTCCCACCCTCCCCCCCAACCACCCATGAATTAGTGGAATGTTTGGAAGATGCTTTGCTTTGTTCGTGAGTTAGTTGAACCCATCGGTGAATACACTGAAGCGCGATGATGGTCTTCGGCCCTCTGCTGGAAGGCTTCTTTATGGTGTGACCCAGAACAGACCGAGAGCACGATGAGGCGGCTGGAGAACGGGCAAGCCACGATTCTTGCGTTTGCACCTCTCCGGAAAATCGGCATCTCTCGAGGAATTTCCAACTGGGAAGTCCGTTCGAAAGAAGAGGAATGCGTGCGAAGGCCTTTCTTGTTCTCAGTGACCTCACGTGGGGACGTCCTCCAGAACGCGAAGCCATTCCTGGCTTCTTTATTCAGATGCATTTCCATACCGAAGAGCATGGGGTACGTCCGTGTCGTATCGGAATCTCGCGGGGAAGTTCCGTTGGGAAGTCCATTTGCAAGAAGAGGATGCGTGCGTTTCTGGTTCCCCCGACCTTACGTGGTGACGTCTTCCAGGACGCAAATCCGTTTCGGGTTTCTTCATTCGGATGCATTTCGATGCGGAAGAGCATGGGGTACGTTCGCGTCGTCCGCTTCGCCGCAGCCAGTCCTTGAATCGTAAGCGATCCATATCACCCATACAAGTGGACCGAGAGATACGGACCAGAACAGCCTGTATTTCCCTTTCCACTTTCTACCAGTGGACATGCTGGCCGTCTGCTTTCCAGGTTTCCCCCTGGTAATAGCCTCTTTCACTTACGTGCTTCTGGTCACGTTTCCTGCACGTTCCCGTACTGGAATCGCAAGACGTAGACCGAACCGAGAAATGAGACGATCGATCAAGCTGCGAATATCTATATCCCTTTCGCGGACGTGAACTCTATTTCCCACAATTACAAGCAACGATCGTCCTCGCTGAAAATATCAGAAATGACAACATGGTATTGGTTTACGGAAAGAAAGGCGAAACTATCGCTCACCTGCTATCTCCCAAGCAGCTTGTTCATGTAAACAAGACATCTATTTTTCGCAAACAATATCAATTTCTTGCGATTGTCATCGAATGAAATCACATTCATGTAAAATTTATATTCCTCTTTTTACATCACTTAAGGGGATCTGTATTTCATATCAACCTTCACCTGATATAAAGTACATGACATGAAGTTTATGCAAAATCAACACCACAACATCCATATGAAACTTTAGCTGACTCTAGAGTGTCTCATGTGCCAAGGGCCCTCACTAGATGAAACCAAGGTTCCCTGCACCCAAAAAATGCAATTAAGTACCTGCTTTCCTGAAATAGTATCAGGTCTGTCTCCTCTCTTTCCTAGTACCTTAAAGTCCTGCTCATGCTCTTAGGGTTTCGAGCTAGTGCGGAAAAGTCTAGTAGTAGATACTCTTGGGTACTTTTAAGGAAGAGTAAATGTGTATGCTTCCGAGTATCCCAGATCCTTAAAAGCTCGTGGTTTACTGAAAATAAAAATGAGCATGAATTTTGATTCGTAAAAATTATTTTTTTAAATACATAATATCGATATATACATGCTACTTGGGATGCAAATCGATGTCATGTAAAATTCTCTTCAATTTTACATCACTATTTGCGTATCACAGAGGTGACATTTCTGCAAACATGTTGACAATAGATTGATGAATATTGCGTAAAATAGATATAAAATACACAAAAAAATTAACATCAAACTTACATACTGACGTAAACATGCTGCTCGGGCTGTATTTAGAATGGTCCTATTTAAGATTTTCCAGGTCGAAGGAACTCTGAACTTCAGTACTTCCTCTCCATCGTAATCCAAGGGTGTTCGTTCTCTCGTGAAACGAATCCATCTGGGGAAACGTGGCGTAATCGTATTCATAAGGTACCAGACCGATATTAGGCAAATTCTATAAAGATAAGTAACAAAGACAGTAAACGAAGAAGTATGGTGCTTTCATAAAGGGATATCAATAGGGGCAAACTTCCCATAGCTTCTTACGCCTTCGTATCGACTCCCATCTTCCATTTTCAATATCGTACGTTGGAAAATGTATCGGTTTCCTCGCTTTCGATAAGGTTGGTGAAAACGACGTTCTGAAGGATTCCCGTTCCTCATTCGAACGATGATTGCGCTTTCTCTGTCTTTCGAATGCGACTCGGCACTTGGAAACAGCAGGCACGTGTTAACGCGAGCGATCAGGGTTGCCGGAACTCATCCCAAGGGTGTCACTCTCTAAGTTCTTAAGTTCCATTTCCCGTCTCAGAACCTTTTAACAGATGCTCCACATTCCCCTCGCCGGGTGCACCCTTTCGAAATGGTACATCTAGCGAGTCGGTGACAACGAACGATCTGGATAAATTATGAAAATGTTGAGCTTACACAAAGGCATATCCGCTTCTGCCAGGTATCCTAGAGGAGAAAATCAAGAAAGGTGAGGCGGAGTCCATCAAGAAGATGAAGACATTCTATCGAGCCTGTATGGAGTTACGTGAGTCCTCTCATCTTCACACCTCCCGAAGACACTATTTGATCGTGTGAGAACCGTTCTACGATGGTGAAATTGCAGCGACGAAAGACGAGGGAGAATCCATCACTCCGCTGCTGTCCGACCTGAGGCTGTTCCTCGGCGGGTGGCCGATGACGATGGCGGATGGAGAATGGAATCCCGACGGATTCTCCTGGCTCCACACCGTGGCCAGAATGAGAGGCACGCTCGGGCTCGGTCCTCTGGTCACCTCATACGTTCATGCCGACGAGAAAAACAACACAAACAGCTTCTTTTTCGTTCGTCTCTTCGAGACCTTTTCGTGGAAGTACTGCATGGATTCTTGGACTCATTTCGCGTCTCCCTCACCCTTTAGATCGACCAACCGTGGCTGGGGGTCGACAGAGAAGTCCTCCTCCATCCGGAGTATTACGGCGCGATCTTGAGCGGCTACAAGGACTACATCTTGGACGTCGCTCAGGTCGTCTCCATATACGAAGGAGTGAACAAATCCCGAGAGGAACTCGGACCCTACGTCGACGACATCATCCGATTCGAGACGGAACTCGCCATGGTCAGAAGCGCTACTTAGATGTCATTCTGAGGGATTTTTTCCCCGTCACATGCGTAGGCTTACAGTTACGGAAACGTAACTGCTCGCGCTGGTCGTGCCAGATTCTCTGATCGTTCGACTGTACGATTTTCAGAGGATCTCATCGGCCGTGAAGCGACGGGAACCGTCTTGGATGTACAAGCCCATGACGCTCAGGGAACTCCAGAACATCACCGACATCGCCGTTGTACGTAATCGCTTGGAAATACACTCTCCGTCTCTGCACGTGTCGTTCTACAGGGTGTATGATAAGTAACGCCCTATTTTTAAATGCTTATAACTCTTTTATTTTTTAACGAAATTTAATGAAACAAACTGTGAATTATGCAACAGTTAATGGGGTTTTTATTCGTCCACACTTCACGCTTCTACGTGTGCTCCTTCATTGTCAAAACATTTCCTTAAGCGAACAGGTATGTTTCCCACTCTTGATAGTAACACGTGTCGAGGAATGTTGTAAAGAACATTGTTGATTCTTTCTTCCAGTTCATTGAGCAGCAAAATTTGTTTTCGGAAAGTTTCATGTATCTAGGTTGTCGGAATAAAAATTGACAGTTGTTCAAAGTGGAGTCAGTTCGCAGCCCTAACTTACACCTTGCGACTTCTTTCTGTAGGGTTGGGCTAAAGAGGGAGTTTATCGTACCAAACCCAGAAATCTTATTGAATTGGTTGAAAGAATCAACTATGTTCTTTACAACTTACCTCGACACATGTTATGATCAAGAGTGAGAAACATTCCTGTTCGCTTAAGGAAATGTTTTGACAATGAAGGAGCACACGTAGAAGTGTGAAGTGTGGACGAATAAAAACCCCATTAACTGTTGCATAATTCACAGTTTGTTTAATTAAATTTCGTTAAAAAATAAAAGAGTTAAAAGCATTTAAAAAATAGGGAATTATCATACACCCTGTATTACCAACACCCTTCAACTAATGTGGTTCAGTGTATGAAATCGCGGGGGAACTTTCTCCCGATTGAGTTTTACTTTATGACGGCTTTTAAAACCTTTTAAAAGGAAAGGTTGCAATTCATAGAACATAAGTCCAAATGTAGGTCCTGGTGCTGCGGGTCCATCTCCTCTACAAACATAGGCATCATCGCGATTGATTATGGGGCTCACATGTATCTTTGCGCTAGGCTTCCCAAAAATGCTGTCATATTGGTGGATTGCTGGGTCTTAGTTTAATGGGGTTGGTGCATCTCATCGTGGTCTCCGATCTGAACGCATTATTTTGAGACCTCGTTGCTGATAACAAATTTCAAGGTTCAAGGTTCGCGTTTGGAAATCAAGAGGCATTTCTACTCATTAGGACATTCCGTGTCGACGTCGAACGTTCCGTATCTTCCATATCCATAGCATAAAATAGACCTACACCTAATGCCTAGTCGCTAACACCTACATTGCTCCCTTTTTTGTTTCGTTCATGAAGGCATCTAACCTCATCTCGCTAGTCATGGGGCGGGGCAGCCACTATCTCGTACATCGTCACTTCACGCATTCCACGCGTCCACTAACCGAAAAGTAAAAAAGTCCTGTCGCAACCTACGCCTCACCTGGCGTTTGCGCAACTTAAGTTGGTTTCTTCTCGTTCTGCTGCTACTATCGAACTGGAAAAACCTATTACGCTCTACGTTATCAATTCCCTTAATGATCTAAAATGCCTGGATGAGGTTCCCCCCTCGTTAACCTTCTCTGGAGTGAGCACAGTCCCAGGGCTTCTAAACGCTTCTCAAATGGAAGTCCTCTTACTTCCTCGATCATTCTCTTGGCCCGCCTCTGGACTCGCTCTAGCCTCGTCAGGAGGCGAGCAATGCAGATCAGAACAATGCAATGCAACAAATGCAGATCGAGTTGGAATTTAACCCATTAACTCCTGCTAAACTTCGATCCAGCAACCCACATCCGTCATTATATCGCCTTCCCAGTTCAAGATCATCGCAAGTCAAAATTTTCAAAACGTTTCTTTGCAAAATTACAGTTAACCTTCAGATGACCGAAATACAATTGAAATACAATTGATGACCCCTTGCTATTAACGTTCATTCCTTTGTGTAAATGCATGAATGAGGTCTCGTAAGAATGCAACAACGTTATTTTTCATGAATCGAAATATTCTTGGATAGGAAACGTGAATTGTAATTGGCATTATGATGTGAATTGATAAATGATAAATATGAAGAAAAAAAACACACATTGAGGTCCAAAGTGACCGCATTTCGGTCATCCAAAGGTTAACGACTGCGGTAATGACACAACCAACCAGAAATTTATATAGTGATGTAGTTAACACTTGAAACTAACCTATACATTGACATCGTCCCTTTGACAAATACTTTTAAATGTTGAACAAAAAAATTAAATTCAATGTCTCAAAATTAGGTTTTTTGAGTTGTGATAGTCTTGAACCGAAATGATATTATTCCACTATCATCTGCCTCTGTTACAACTGGCAGATACCTGCAAGGCCGGCTATTATTCAGAGAACTGCTTAGGTTTTTCAACTGGTTTCCGATGTCGATTGCTCGTTCGAAACTTGTTTTTGTTTATTCTGGTTATTTTTAGAATATATATATAATATCTATACAATATATATGGCAAATACCCGAATGTGCAGTGGATACTGCTCTCATTCGAGGCGTGCATATAGATTGAATGAAAGTAAAACAGTGATGCCTTCCCTAGTCAAAGCCACCCAAGGGAACAGTTGGGCTCTGACCGGCCCAAGCCTAGAAGATGAAGACAGATCTATTTGCTATTGTTCCTCCGCCAAAACCGAAACCAACACACCACTCACCACCCCGAAATAGCCAAAGCCAAAAAATGGCACCTTGTGCAAGTTGTAAGGGAAGGAGGGATGAAAGAACAAAGATAGAAAGAAACTGATATGAGCATTTTGGAAGGCTCCTTCCTTTTTCCGCTCACGTTTGCGACGTACGAGTGCTTCTTTTTACCCTAGAGGCAACCTGGATACCTGCGGAAAGCAGATAGCATGCAGTTTTCCAATACCTTTTTCCCTATGATGTCTAAAGCTAAGCCTTCCACTCGAGCCAACCCGATTTTGTGTACGCATTGGGGCTGCGTGCACGAAATGCCAAAGGCCGCTCAGATCCAACTTAAAATTGTGACAAGCGGAAAGACTTTTTCCCTCACGTAGACTCTGGCTTCACGTTGGTTCTCTTTCATCCAGCTTACGGGATCACCCCATCAATCCATCCTTTGCTGCCGAAAAGTAACAACCCAACGGCCAGGTGCAGGAGTTTAAGATTCATGTGAGATGCTATTTAGGTGGATGGGGCGGACTGGGAGAATTATACGAACACAGTATTGAGCATTGCCGGCATGAAAGTGACCAAGGATTCCACCATCTTCGCTCCGGAGACCGAGTACTTGAAGCACTTGCTTGTCTTACTTGATGCTACGGATCCCGTCATCGTCGGTGAGTTTCACGATCATCACATTCTTGTACTCGATAGACATTAGCCTCGAATAGGATTTCATAGGCACGTGATGATGTTGATTTCATGAAGTGCCAGTCAGAGGAAAGAGGTCATGGATCTTCATTGTAGTACTCGCCTGAAGATCTAGTGAATATTTCAAAATACGTACCTCTTTTCAACAGTGTCATGAAACGAATTTAAAAGTTGGCAAGTGCTCAAGCAGATAATAAAAAAGCCTGGGAAACTGAACTTTCTGGAAAATTCTTTTGGTGTTGAATCTCAGATGCAATTCCCAGACCCACCCTGAGGCAATGGGAAGGGCAAGCTAATATACGAGCTATGTAAGTCTTATGTCTCGATTTCTTCTTCCTCTTAGTTGAAGTTGGTGCTGCTTGCTTTTCCTTGTCATGTCATTACATGCATGATTCAGACAATTCTCTTCTGTCTCTTCTGGTCACATCGCACCAAAGGACTCTTAAGAGAGGGCCCGAAAAGGAACGATAATTTTTAAATGAAAGGAATTTTCCATCAAGCTTTGTTACGCATTAAAAAATCCTCCAAGGAAGAAGAGGTCTGTTCAGGCGTTCAATTATTCGATGCTGTTCAACTGGGCTGAGACGTAATAAAAAAATAAATATTTTCTTCTTATTCGAAATCTCACATGGAAGCTCATATTACGTGTAGATGAGATCCGTCGCACGATGAATTTCTGGGACATGGATCGGACCTCATTATGGGATGAATCTGACTCATTCGCTGCTATGTCACCGTGATTTCGCCCTACCCAGCCATGGGTGATCCAAAACTCGTCCATGGACAGTCCAGTTGTCCAGAGGCGGTCGCCCGTTGTGTGTACATAGAATGCCATCGCCATGGATCGATATATTCTCATGCATTCTGAGCTTTATTCGAGCAGAATTTCCCTGCATCGAACACTCAATTATTTCTATCTTATTGAATGAAGGTTTTATGGAATGACTTTACGAGGATCCGATCATGGGATTTATTGTATTCTTTTTTTTCCCTTCTAATCTCCCATCTTGGGTCGCAACCCAATAACTTCAGTCAATATGTACTAGTAGATAGTGTGACATTATAATTGGACCAATGCATGATTTCATTTAGCTTTCGACAATGCGAACGAAACGATGTGTCAGTCCTTCTTTCGGCATCCATGGGACGTCCAGCAAAGGAACCTTCAAGGACTTGTGGTTCCCTTGTCAAGTAAGTCTGCTCCTTCCCCATGAAAAGCATGTCTTGATTAAGAAAAAAAAGACCGGATAGTAGGGAGTTTCAGCTCAATAATAATTCACTATCCTTCCAAACACTCCTCTCCTAGTTCCTCCAAGGAACGCGAGGGCGACATTGTCAGTATGCAGAAAATGCTTCTTTCCCACACCATGAATATTCATGAGAATATTCCATATGCTCCATAGCTACCTGGGGATTACTATCGCTGCACCCTTCAATAGTCATCCAAAAGCTTTCCCAAAGAGAATCTCCAATGGAACCAAAGAGACGGACATCCATTAGTCCATCAAATGGACATGTCCAAGGATTTTCCTTGGATGAGACATTTAGTCATCCAGGGGATGTCCGAGGAGGATATACAGGGTGGCGCAAAAGTGGCGCACCATAGAGGATTTCACTGCTGCACTGCATTAATTCTTGTTACTTCCTTTGCAAGTAACTGATGGCAGCAAAATTAACAAAAGACAAGAGGGTGGAGTTAAGATATGTTCAAACATTATGTGTACAACGAATCGAAGTGTTTTCAAGTTAATGGCAAACGATTCGAACATTTACTGTAAATTACCCTAAGGTGCGCGACTTTTGCGCCACCCAGTACATTGGATGTCCAAGTGTCCATGAGGGTATGTCCAATGGATTTATTTTGGACCCTCATGGACACTTGGAAATCCAATATATGTCTCCCTCGGACATCCACTGGATGACTAAATGTCTCGTCCAAGGATAATCATTGGACATGTCCATTGGATGGCCTATCGGGTGTCCGTCTCTTAGGATCCATTGGAGATTCCCTTTAGGAAAGCTTTTGGATGACCATTAAGGGGTGCAGCGATAGTAACGCCCAGGTATCAATGGAGCTAAATTTGCATGCTCATGAACATTCATGGTGTGGGAAAGGAGCATTTTCTGCATATTGCCGATCTCGCCCCCTCACGTTCCTTGAAAGAATTAGAGATGCGTCTGGATGGTAAGTGATGCATTATTGAGACGATACTCTCAACTTCACATCCTGATCTCTCATTAGTTAGATAGTTTCTTCCCATCGTCATGTGGGGCAATCTTTGTAGATAGGGAGCAGACATACCTGACAAGGGGAACCACGCTCTCACCATGCAATGTGCAAGAATTGCCGGGAGTCTCCTTGAGCTGTTACATCTCTCAANGGCAATCTTTGTAGATAGGGAGCAGACATACCTGACAAGGGGAACCACGCTCTCACCATGCAATGTGCAAGAATTGCCGGGAGTCTCCTTGAGCTGTTACATCTCTCAACAAATGAATTAATTAGAATGACTTCCTTCCTTAGGCTTGTACGTGGGAAATTATCGAGTAGAGAATGAAAGACTACGCAGAACAATTTGTTAGCATTTTGGAAATCTGGAGACATACAGTGGCGGGATGAGCGCGACCTCGCTTATATTATGGGAACTTTATATTCCTTAAATGAACTGCTAGATGTCAGGTCAGATTGAAGGCCTCAACGGGGCGGGGATTCCATCCAAGGACATCCAATGGAAGACCATAAGAAGTTGTCCTTGAAGGTTCCTTTGCTGGACGTCCCATGGATGCCGAAAGAAGGACTGACACATCGTTTCGTTCGCATTGTCGAAAGCTAAATGAAATCATGCATTGGTCCAATTATAATGTCACACTATCTATATATTGACTGAAGTTATTGGGTTGCGACCCAAGATGGGAGATTAGAAGGAAAAAAAAGAATTAAATAAATCCCATGATCGGATGCTGGTAACGCCATTACATAAAACCTTCATTCAATAAAATGGAAATAACTGAGTGTTCGATGCAGGGAAATTCTGCACGAATAAAGCTCAGAATGCATGAGAATATATCGATCCATGGCGATGGCATCCTATGTACATCCAAAGGACGACCACCTCTGGACTTTTACACATCTCTGGACAACTGGACTGTCCATGGAAGAGTTTTGGATCACCTATGGCTACTTGGGTAGTAATGGAACTCGCTAATATTGTTTAATGGAACTTCATGATCTGGCTGTAGCAGTTGGGGTACCCCAATCGATGGTAAAGGCAAAATGCACGAGAGCAGGTGGATTAGTCCAAAAATACCCAAGATCTTCAGACAAGTAGTGATATTAAGAAGGATAATTAAATTTTTGAGTTTGAGATACGCAGCAAAAATAATAGACGTTTCATGAAATGGCGGATTATGCATTTCCTACGACTCCTTCATTAGGGAATTACGTCGGATGGAGAATGGTGCAAACGATGTCGTCAGATACGAGTCCTTCCACCAGATTGGCACGGGTCCGATACGAGAAAGCCTCTTCGGGGATCCCCAACTCCGATGCCTGGTTCGTTCTCTGTCGTCGTTTCGCTAGGAAACCAATATTCTTCGGTACGAAACAGAGTAAGAATCGATTGGGATCACGTTCCTGGGAACTGTAATCTCCTGTGCCATCCCCGAGAAGCTATTTTTATCTGGCATTCCCATAGGTATACCTTTTTCTGATGATTCTCAGGCCTTCCTGGAATGACGCTAACCCGCACCCCCCAAAGGATTCGTTAGGATTCGTTATGACTGGGATGATGGAAATAGGGAGTGCAAGAGGGCCAGCCGAAGAGCTGAGGGAGAGCAGAACAGCTCCCACTGTCGACTTTCTGGCCTGTCTAGGAGCTTCCGTTTCCTCTTTAGTCTGGCGTCTGTAATCACAAGCCGGTTTCGATTCCATTCGTGATGGCACAACTGCGAGAGAGAGATGTGAAGAGGAGCTCATTAACGCAAGACCGAATGGAAATTTCGTTTGTCAGCCCATCAAGATGAGTTCGTCCCTTCCCTTGTACTTTTGCACCACCAGACAATGGAGTCAGTTCTCACACGAGTTGCGTTCGCTGAATTTTTGGACAAACTAAGTGCCATCATCGAACCGGGCAAAGAGTTCATTTTCGTGTTGGACAATGCTTAGGTGCACAAACGGGTTATTCCTCGATACCCAACCCACTCAATTCAATTCCTCCCCCACCCTACTCTCTAAAGTCCTTTGTTAAATCCCATCGAATTCACGTTCTCGCCCTTCAAAGCAGAAGGGAAGAAACGGATCGGTGCGTTGCAGACCTCAGTGGCTATCCCTCAATTGGCAGTCGCACCATGGAAGACCCTTACGAGATATCGATGCTAAATGAAAAACATCTGTGAGGTCGAGTTCATACTCGTGCTGTACAGCATGCTGGATGCCGCAACTGCATACTGTCCAATGGAACATGCCCGCGTTGGATTGAATTTTGCCGTTGCTGTACATGCTGTACAGCACGAGTATGAACTAGGCCTGAAGAGTCAATTCGCAACGTGAATACGGATGCCTCATGCAGACATGCATACGAACACTCTTTCAATACGTCAATACGGCATTGGCCAGAAATCCCATTCATGAATGAAGGCATTTTGCATTTCGATCTCTTGCCGTCTGGATTTTTACTCATTCTCGGGGTATGATTTGGCCTCGTAGTCACTTGGTTTCTCTGTCTAGACTCTAGACTGTAGGAAGGTGAAACGAGACACAACGGCTTACACTCGCCTCTCCTCGCCCTGTTCTCCATTCCTTCATGAGCCCCTGCGTGCTCCTTGGGGCATGCGGGTTACTCGAATGGCAGGTATGGCACCGACTTTGGAGGTGACCTCGGCGCGCATCGAGGACATTTCCATCACCGAGGAGACGATCGTGAATATGATAGGGAAGTTAAAGGTGGGCAAGGCGACCGGCCTCGATGGGATTCCTGCGAGAGTCATTAAGAAAACCGCGAGAGAAATATCGGTTCCGCTAAGAATTATATTCGAAAGCAGCTTTTCGCGCGGAGAAGTACCTAAGGACTGGAGACTAACAAACGTCGTACCGATCTTTAAGAAGGGCGAAAAGAGTCATCCAGGAAATTACAGGCCGGTAAGTCTCACGAGTATCAATCATCACGAGGGAAGATCATGGAGAGCATACTAAGGGACCATCTCTTGGATTTCCTCGAAGGAAACGCGCTCATTCGGGACTCTCAACACGGCTTTAGGAGGCGTCGAAATTGTCTCACCAATTTGCTCGAATTCTACGACTGGGCGNGCGCAAGCGACGGTGGCCAAATGCAATAGGATTCTAGGTTACATTCGTCGGTCGGTTGCAAGTAGGACATCTCGCGTTATTCTTCCGTTGTATGCGGCGCTGATAAGACCCCAGCTGGAATATTGCATCCAGTTTTGGAGGCCTACAAATAAGGGCGATTTGTTGGCGCTCGAGGGAGTACAGAGGAGGGCCACAAGAATGATTAAGGAGGTTAGGGGACTATCATACGAGAAGCGTTTAGAAGTGTTGGGACTGTACTCGCTCGAACGAAGGTTAAGGAGGGGCGATCTCATCCAGGCTTTCAAGATAATTAAAGGAATAGATAATGTCGAGTGTGGTAGGTTTTTCCAGTTTGATGACAGCAAGAGAACGAGAGGTAACCGACTTAAGTTGCGCACACCGCAGGTGCGGCTCAGGTCGAGACAGGAATTCTTTACTTGCAGAGTGGTGAACGCGTAGAATGCGTCAGATGACGAAGTAGTGGCTGCCCCTTCTGTGACTATCTTTAAGAAGAAACTGGATCCTTTCATGGACAGGCAAAAAGGCGGGGGATAATGTTGACGTTAGGTACTAGACAGTAAGCAACTAGGATAGTCACAAAACAAAAATACAAAAATATATAGCTTTAAGAGGGTTAGGCCTACCCTAAAATTAAGGAACGCTCGACCTCGACACGTGATATCGAAATGGGCGAAATCGCCTCTTGATGTCACTAACTATCTTGAATCTTGAAGAAGGTATGCCTGAGAATCACCTGAAAAAGGTATAGTACTTCACTTATTGGTCATTTTCGCTTGCGGATCCCAGAGATCCTGATATGTGTTCAAGTTAGCTTTTCCTGGAGAAAAGATGCGTAAACACAAGGGTCTCAATGAACTTGTGATGTTAAGTTTCTGGCTCTATGAAATGTGGTGTCTTCTCCGCACTCTTCCCGAAAGAAGGTGCCGCATTCCGTAGATCTCAGACCATTGTCCCAGCCATGCATTGACACTTGCAAGACTTAGTAAAGCCTGAAATGTAGCAACTGAACGGTCCCGATTTGTACTTTTCCAATTGAGCAGTTCAGAAGCATTTCGGGAAACAGTTGACAGGAATATCAGCTAAGAATATCAGAATCATCGGAATCTGCAAGCGAAGGTCCCCCAAGAGCTGAATTTCATATTTGAATCATTTTGGACGGGGCTGTGAACCGGTGTCCGTCACATTTGATTCCCATTTTTCGAAATGGCAGAGGCCATATGAAGCATTTATTCTCAATGAGGTTGGCAAAGAGTTTTAGGATTCACATCCAATGTTCTTATGTGAATTTTAGCTTTTTCTTCTTACGAATCATTTATAGAAGGGCCATGCATGATCTTATATTAGGCGCATCCCGTAGAGCCAAAAGACAAGGTGATCCTAGGGAATTGTGCCTATCGGCTCCATTTCTTCTATAAATCGGTCCAAGTAACTTTAGCTATTGGAGACAAATAACGTATTTTAAAAGCAAGTCCTATCCAGCACTTTCTGTAACAGTTCAGTATTTTATGCACTCAACTCAGGCAGCATGTGCAGGTTGAAATAAAGAGAAATTGATGTCGTTACATCCACAGCACACGAATGGATGTGAAATCAATTTCATACTGATACTCGAAAGGAATTCATATCGATAAACTATCAATAGTGTATTTCTCCAGCATCATTATCGGCACGTAGAGTACTCGGAATACCGAGTTTATTTTCACGCACACACAAGGTTTAACTTTATGAACATATGTAGTCGTGTGAAAACCATTTTTCGAAGGCTTTCCCCTTTATTCTCCGCTCCCTCTACGGAAATTGACAGTTTCCATCATCAATGAATGGTCCAAAATCACGAGAGTAATAATTAATTACCAATCAGGAGCGATATCGGGACTTACTAGGCTTAGGGCCAGACCGCAGACTGCCCTCAGATCAAGTCTGGGCTAATCATTTTTCGCTCCATACGAATGCGTGTAATACAAAATAAGAAGAGTGTTGAAGCCTCGATATGAAAGCAGAAGCATTTATCAATCCAATTAAGCATTCCAGCATGACATCTGGTTTCTGTGGTAAAGGGGACTGGAGTCAACACAGAAAGCCTAGGGCCTGAATGCTGAAACCTCATTTAGGCGAGATAAAGAGCTCTTTTCCCCCGCAGGAGTCCATGGATTTTCGAAGGACTGTTAACTAAAAAGAGGTTTCAGCATTCGGACCCTTTCGGGCGAATTTCGTTTATCACCGCGAAGGAGGGCATCGCCTACCTCAGAAAGGGCAATGGCTCGCTCAAGTGTATATTTTCCTTCTGGCTACGTTATTTCCTCCGAAAAGCCAACAAGTATGGCTAACCGAGTGGGGCTAGGGAAAGGCAAAATACCGGAATGAAATTCACCGCGGCAAAAGATCAGAGTGTGCTTTCCCTCCTGAGTCTCAAATTCGCTAAGTGATACTGTGCTCAGAGGACACGAAGCCTGTCTAATTTTGTTCCTCCGAACGCTCTCAAGGAGGAATACGAGAAACATATTTTTGTAACCGGGTGGGGTTAAAGAAAGGGAATAGGCACGTAAGTGTCAATTGATAATTAACGTTACTATTGACATAACTTTTATGTCGATGTTTGTTGCCCTTAGATTCAGGTCGTCAGAACATAAAATTTGCGCATCGTATAAAGAAAACAGGAATACTTTAAATGGGCAAATCTAACTCAAAACTACAGTTCCGTTTAAAGAGACTCTTCTTGTCATTCTGCACACAAGTGTTTCGTGCTTTAACTTTTTCTCTCTGCTACTGGAATACTCATCTTCCTCCGACATGTGTGTCGCATGTGTTGAAGATCACAGATTGATATCACCCTGTAGAGAAAATAGTTAGATTGCAAGCAATCATATCCATGTCTGCAATGCTGCTGCTCGGACTAGTTCGTTCACCCTGGCTTCCAAAGCCTGCGGGTCTACGTGCGTCATGTGTGCCGGCCGTAGTCGAAGGAAGCGAAGAATATAAATCTTGTCTTCTTTTCTTGCTCGTACCAAAAAAATAGGGACACTTTAAGGACTTGATAGGGCATCCGAGTCCAACCAGGTGTCCAGAATTCCCTCACAAACCGCCTCAGGAGCAGGGAAGACAAAGGAAGGGGTTGGGGGGCCACGATAGTCAATATGTAATACTAGCGAGTTTGTTTGCCCTTCAGGCAAACAAACTCGATATTGTCGCGCCTTCGGCACTCCATTACCTTGGAGAGTGATTAGTTCATTTATTCTTTGCAAATTGGCAGACACATATTGATATTGGGATATGTTTTCGAATAATTTTTTTCCATCAGTTAAAATGATGAATATCGAAAGTTGAAGCTTTGCATTCAATCAAAACGAATATCTGGCGCATCCAATGTTCCCATGTTACCTTATCTTCGCCCATAAAAAACCCGACATAAAATGAGAAGGGTCGAGGTTTTCTTATTTTGGTCCTATGATTTTTACAATTTAATTCATGGAGCGCCACCATGCCTGAAAACTTGTGCGCGTAGTAGGGCGTTGTAATAGGGTAAATAACCGATAGATTTCAAGCATTATTTAATTCAAATTTGATTTGCCCCGTTTTGCTTCTCGCCCCATTTTGCCCTACATTCCCAAACAGACCCTGTTCATAATATTAGACTTATGCCAGAGAAATGAAAATAAAAAAGCCCAAGTGCGCAAATTTTCGCGGTTCTCTTGGGTCATATATAACAAACCAATGAAGTTAAGGTATGATTACCATTTTGAAGCAATTCGAGCTGGATATTTACATTGCTTAGGGATTATGCTTTGCTTCAAAGAAAGTTCGTGTCATGTTTCACAAAATCAGGTACAGCTTTACGGAACTGTTACGTCAGCGATATAAAATGGCTGATTTGCGCCTCAAAAGTTAGAAGCTCGAGAAACGCACACTTAGGTTATACCCATAGTAAATGCATTTACATAAACGTTTTACCATTATTATAACTATTTTATGTTCAATTTATTAAAACGTGGTGGTATTGAAAAAAACATTAAATTTCATTGGAAATAAAGTATTTAAGTCCAGCAAGTCTATTCTTTCACTAAATTATGAATCTTGTGTTACCGACTCTTATAACAAAAGCATAGTATCTATGACAAAAGAGAATAACGCAAATTAGCGCTGCTACGCTTATTTGTTTAATTTTTATTAATGACGTTCACCAATATGAGGAGGGTATGCTTATACTTTCAAGTATTTTTTTCAGTGCGGACATTATTTGTTCAAAATGCGAATCTCGCTGTGTCTCTTCACTTTGGCCTTTAGGCTTTAGCTCTGAAAATGAAGGCTCTTTGTGATACAAGGGATGGTTACATATATGAACTTGAACCAAAGAGAACCGACATGGATTTCAAGAGTCTAGTGCGGAAGCAGGAGATTGGCGAGAGGGGACCAGACGATGGAATTGGAAAGGTTCTCATGCTCGTCGGAGCAACAGGAATGGGTACTGCGAATGTTCTATCTGTTGTAGGAGTTATAATTTCCAGAAAATGATGAGGAACGCCTTTCAATTGCAGGAAAGAGTACCCTCATAAACGGGATGGTGAACTACGCTTACGGAGTGAAGTGGAACGACGATTTCCGCTTTAAGTTGATAGGTGACGAGGGGAATGGAAAGAATCAAGCTCACAGTCAGACAAAGTGGGTCTCGGCATACGTCCTGCACAAGCAGCTAGGAATGGCGTTTCCTTACACATTGACTCTGGTCGATACACCCGGGTTTGGCGACACAGAAGGGATGAAAAGAGATGACGAGTTGAAGAATCAGATCGAACAGTTCTTCTCACATGGAGGATATTTTGGAGTCGACCAACTTGATGGAGTTGGTTTTGTAGTTCATTCTTTCCTAGCAAGGCTAACACCCGCCCAAGAGTACATATTCCAATGCCTATTGTCATTGTTTGGAAAAGACGTGAAAGACAATATATTCCTGTTCGTTACTTTCGCGGATAACCAAAAGCCTCAAGTCCTGAGCGTCATCAAAGAAGCAAATATTCCCTCGAAACAAGTATTCAAATTTAACAACTCCGCTCTCTTTGCTCGAAAAGAAGGCGATCATGTAGACTTTGACGAATTGGCCTGGATAATATGTACCAAGAGCTTTACTAACTTCTTCCATGCGTTCAAAGATACACGACCCGCAAGCTTAACTCTCTCGAAAGAGGTTTTACAAGAGAGGGGACGATTGGAGAGAGTCCTACAGGATATCAAGTCACAATTAGACACCAGTGAGAGCGCCTAAAATTATCAAATTATGTGCGTATGCAGTATTTGCAATTTGTATTACTTTCTGCCTTAATTATGCTTTCAGCTTTGGAACGGATGGAACTACTGAGGAAAGGGCACGCAGCAGTGAGACAACACGGAGGGGAATTGCTGACTGGCTTGATGGGAGTCAAACAAGTAGGGCAGAGTACAGAGGAAGAACGATCAAATGCAAACTCCTTCTCGTCTGATGACAATGAATCGGAATATGAAAACGCTGCCTCTGCACTCCCCCCAGAAATCAGTTTACCTTCACATTTCATGACCCCGAATGATAATCACTTCCTGACGGAGTTGTCTGAAGGTTTCAAACGAGAGATGGTCAAATTTCAAGAGCTGATCAAAGAAGCACATGCATGCATGCACCGAATTGATGAAATAGCTCTTAGGCCCAATCCTATTGAGATCACTAATTACATTGAAATGCTGATCCGCAAGGAGTTTCATGAGGAACAGCCTGGGTTTTCCCAAAGAATCAAATATCTTGAAGAGGCACGTAGAAAATCGGAAGTTGCCAGAGCCGTGCTGGAAAGTTATGATCCGAATGATATGGAGTGGGATATTACTATGTTCGACACGGATGAGCCAAATGAAGGGGAACTCATAAAGAAACCCATGCGGAAACTTTTCCAGAAGCTCATTAAGTTATTTTCTTGAAAGGAAAAAACTTAGACACTCATAATTTTGGGTCTCTGAAATGCGCTGGTCAATCCGTACGCATAACCCATCATGATCATGAAGACGTTCATGCCAAAAGAATATTGCTCCATGAAAAGTCGCGCAACTCTCCATATAAACAAGTGCTGTTGTATATTTCGCTGTAATATCTACACATCAATTATAGTTTTAAAGGGATATGGAACTGAGTGAGGAGTTTAGTGCCTGGGTTGGCAACTCTGCATGCGTACAAATGATTTGAACCCTTTTTATTGCGAAGCCCCAGTTGCAAGAAACCGTAGTTATAAACATGTCGTTCACGAAGCTGCAGCGTGTTTTCATTGTGGAGGCCATATTTTGCTACAAAATCGTTTAAGCTGTGCCAAGAGGAGTTCAGACATAAATTTCACGATGTGCAAGCCCTGAACAAAAGCACAATTTTGCGGTCAGTGCTGCGTATTCGTGCCACAGGCATTGTGGCAGACAAGAAAAGGAGTGGACGTCCATCAGTGTTAACGGAATCTATTCTTGATGGCGTGCAACAGCGAATGACAAGATCACTAAGAAAATCTCTCAGCAGAATGTCACATGAGACTAGCATTTACGTGACGACACTGCATAGATGCGCAAAACGTCTACACTTTCATGCATACCAAGTGAAGGTTGTTCAAGAGTTGAAAAACCCAGACAAGGAAAAAAATGCACTACTGTCTCTGGTTTCAAAGGTTTACTTATAACCAGCCTGGAATTTTAGACGTTTTTCTGGAATGAAGTTTGGTTTTATTTGAGTGGTTACGTCAATAGCCAGAATTCAAGGATATGGGCTGCTGAGAACCCTCAAATTTTGCATTAAGGACCACTCCACTCACTGAAGATAGGCGTTTGGCGTGCCAACTCGCGACAGCGTATTATTGGCCCCTTATTTTTCACACTACCTGTAAATGCTGAAAGTTATCATGAAATCATTCAGCAATTTATCGCCATGTCGGAGATTGACGAACGTGATTCGTGGTTTCAGCAAGACGGAGCAACCGCTCATACCGGGAATTCACAATGGAGTTGCTCAATGAATTCTTTGGGGAGCGCGTGATAGGCAAGAATCTTTGGTCGCCACGGTCTCAGGACTTGTCGTCACCTGACTATTTCCTGTGGGGATACCTAAAGGAAAGAATATATTCTAACAATCCCACAGATTTGGACACTTTCAAGCAAGACACTGCACTGGCCATTGCCGGCATTACTCGTGCGACCTTGCGTCATGTTTCCACAAACATGCGCAAGCGCGTCGCAAATTGCTTGCAGGAAGGCGATGGTCACTTCCAACACTTGCTATGACACTTTTATTCATAGATGAGATGTGCTTCTTCAATATACAGCCAGTTTTGATTAGATACTCAATGTAAGTTACTCAAGAAAATGCTACATATATTGTGTTGCGTGACTTTGGAAAAACCCTGAGTAACATTCACCTTTGTTATATGATTATTTGGTGATCCTGCGTGTATTGTGGCACATTCTGTTTTAGGAGCAAAAGCTCACAATTTTCACCATTAAAGCAATAGCTTCTGCTGTCGTCTCAGTGAACAAAGGAACTTTTCGTTCAAATAATTTATGATGAATTGAATGGCAATTTAGTCGGCGGTAATTAAATGGTAATTTAGGTTCAAGGTGAATTTGTCCAAATCATGCGCTCTCCATCCTTTCCCACATGCTCATCATCGCTGTTCTAAAGGAAACAAACAAGAACCGGAAACTCAGTGGAATTAAATGCTGATCATGACATCTATTCTAACTAAAGCCTAACATAGTACGGTGGATGGAAATTTCAAGGGCGTTCTGCAGCACCAAAAAAATATAAGTTCTGTCAATTTGCTTTGATGAAATCGACCACTGGCCCAAAGTACTTGAGTTATCTAATCAATATGTTCCCATTGGAACGTCCATGCAAGTGTGCTATGTAGCTTCTTCCACGAAGCTGAAAATGTTTTCCTTGTTTGATCATTATCGTGAACGCTATCAGATAGGCATAACAAATGGCATTGCAGACTATTGCGAATTTCTGAATTCGCTAAATTCTTTCTCAAGTGGCCTGCTATTTACATGTTTTTACGAGGACATTTTAGGGAGCCCGGACTTTTGCTCTATTATTAGTTTCTCATGGAACCTGAGAGCGTCGAGATGATCTGTGATTGTTTTCGGTTTCCGAAAGCTATTTAAGCTTCGATTTCCTGGTTTCAATTTCGAATTTTCGAACTATTTTCTCAAGGCAGTAAGATTTCATCTTCCCTCGTTTCATTCTTTCAGCAAATCGGAATGAATCAGAGCACAAATAATTATTCAGTTGAAATTTGCTTTTGTGGTATTCAAATGTAGACTTCTTCCGCTTGGAATAAGGCTAGATTTCATTACTATAGCGTCAGAAGGCGATGCAGTACATCGTCAAATGAAATAAATCGCATTTTGGTAGAGTTAATGATCCAGGGACGAGTGGGAGAGGATCACCGTATCATCGAGCTTGGAAAGCTTTATGCTTAGCTTTTATATTTTAATGGATTTAGTAACTCATTAGAGGTAAGACTTCCATCTATTATGTTGCATATTTACCTTAGAAAAGAACTATATGTCTAATCGAAATGAAATCGTATCTGCAAAGTGGATTTTGTTGAAGCTACTCCTTGATTTTCCATCAACTAATCAACAAGCTATGCAGGTTACGGATTAACGATAGCCTCATTACCGGAGAAAGTAGGTTGACTAACGGTGGAATCGTCAATCTGCGTCAAACATTTCCCTCATGCGGAGAAGGTTCTTCTCATGAAAGAAAACAGTAATTCCATGAGATTGCTTCGCAGTTCGTTACGGACTATTCAAACCTTAGGACCTCGGTTAAACGGTCCGGAGGTTAAACACACGGCGTGCGCGATCCGGACCGCTGGCTAGGCCAAGCGACAATCGCGTGTTTGTGCGTGTGTGACAGCTCTACAGGCCAAACGCTTGGAGATATGAACTTGGAGTATCGACAGAACTCTTCCTCATCATCCGAGGATGTGCCTTTGAGAAATGAAGAGTTACTGCTATAATCGCAAGGGAACGGTGGCATCGCTCGACATGATGCCTCCTCCTGCTGCCGGAAATCCTGGAATTTTAAGCGTCCGTGATGAAATGGGGGTGATATCTTATCCTTCGACTCCATTCGCAATCGCCTCCTTCGCTCCATTCATTGATCGGGTGCCGAAGATAAGGACGGGTAAATGAGACCTGCAGGCTTTATACACGGTAGTATGTACGGACGCCGATCGAAGACGAAGGGTAACCCAAAGATGAAAGCGTTGCCTCAAATCGTCGCCTCCTTGGACAATGTGGTAAGTGGGCTTTCATTGGCGGCCTCACGCTACTCACATCGCTACCCACCGCGCACGTTTCCGAACGTTAATGGCCTCATGCCACTCTGGTGTACCTCTTATTATGGCTATGGAGGAGCCACTGAACTAAGAAGTAACTGGAGATGGCGTCCCAATAGGAACAGTACTGGCATGCGTGATGCCAATTGAAAGCCATACTTTTTTTATCTCGTAGGTCGTAGTCACCATTCACTATTGGATTTCCCCCGATTGTTTTTACTCAACTTTCTTCTAAATACGAACTCTTAGGAAAATAGCCCCGACACAGCACGCACAATAGGTTCTCAGAGGAACCAGTAAGCCCTATCGAGTCGTTCCAAAACTTCTTTTTATCATGAACATGGATCTAATACTTCAGTTTCGGCTAAGGGCAGAAAAGAGCGATTGAAATCTAGATCAGCAAAATGCCTCGATTCACCTGCGAACTGATTCAAAGACTTTAAAGTGGTGCGCATTGGCGGAGTGAATGAGCAGGTACCAAGGGATCATTGGAGCAGCCCGACTAAATACGGAAGCATGTCCTGCCAAGACCCGCCAACTCCTCTACCATGCACAAAGTGGTTGCCCTGAGTCTTCTTTAGACTGTTTGCATTTGAACGTTCACTTCGTCGATCGAACTTAAGTTCTTTTGCTTTCACGTCTCACACTCGGTGTAAAATAGTTCGACGGTGATGATGCAAGGGCGGCGTAACGTTATCACCTTCGTAGGAGAAGCAATCTCAGCCAAGGCAGGCATGGAACTCGAGGCCCACTCGAGAAATCGGAGATGGAGAAACGGGACGGTAACGACGCTGCCGACGGCGTCTTTCCGATCCGAAGAGGAAGCACACCCACACTCCTTGTGAGGAATCAGACGATGGGGTTTCCATTGATAAAGGGGTCGGGATCCTGATAAACATATGGGCAGAGATCTACCGGCGAGGAAATCATCCTTCCTCCAGGCATGAAAAGGGACTCCCAAGTGTAATTCGCGGAGGAACGTTCGAAAAGTCCGTTTTGTACCTCTCTCTCACGTTGTAACGTTAGGGATGGCACGGTGAACCGTGGGCTGTATCGATGGCATACATCTGATAATGGATTGAAGGGAAGTTTCGCACAAGCGACGCTAAGTAGAAAAAGTGAACATGGATTTAATCGTTCCTATGAAAAGGGAATTATGCGAAGGACGTGTCTGATTCCTGAATATGTGATAGCCGTACATTTATGCCGAAAGTTTCCGTAGTAGGCTTGAATTACGAAGAGATCTATCCAAGACAATAGTAGATAGTACCATCAACCAGACTATGAGTATGAGACAGGGTGCTCACACTCACGGCACCGTGGCATTGTTCCGCGCCTTCGGGAGATGAAACCCAAGACATGTCTGATCGTAATTATCGTAATTAAATCATGGGCTGCAGCTGACACACCCGGCCTCATTGGGACCAAACATAGAAACTTGCCGCTTTGTCTCTGCCTTCCAATTTCTTTTCCGGACCCGACTTCGTTACGCATTAAAATGATGGAATCCAATCTGAATCGCGAATGATCTATACACGAATTCAAACTCTTTCTTAGCGTGCAGAATCAGCGAATTTTGAATTCAGCTATCACCTGACGTGAAATTAAAGAAATACGTATTGCTTACAAAGGAGCGGCAAAAGGGGGAATATTGGGGCACGAAGAGGAGCGCCATGAGCTTGGCAATTTGCCCTGTGAGAACCTGGATCGTCGAGAGACGCGATTCGGTGGAAGCTGAACCCATTCAACTAGGCGTTCGTTTCGATGTGACATTACGCTTTCCATTTTTCATGAGGAATAACAACTTGTTACATTTTCTTGAGCCTGCATCATATATGTTCATGATGAAATCCGAATCTTTCTGCTGTCATTTCGTGGATATGAATGTTGTCCAAACTTAAACGGAAACATTCGAATTTCTATTTTTTAATTAGAATAAGAATATTAGTCAAATTATGCGTAATGTGAGTCACACGTAACGCCTCCAATTAAAATGTATGAATGTTATTTTCGGTTTTTATATTATATTATTATTAACTATATCCCATGCTTTCTACCTGAATGCCAGCGAAGTAATGACTACATTACGTAACTACAGCACGTAATCTAGCCCGGCATCGAGTCTGCCAATTTTGGGGGCGAATTCTTCACTCAGATTTTCCCACACCTCCTTAAATACTGCTCTTAAAGGCTTCATCATTCTGGGGCGCCGATGCGCCAATTCGACCTTCAGGAGAGCCCATGCATTCTCTTTGGGGTTGAGGTCGGGAGACTGCGACGGCCAGTCGCCATTCTGAACCCTCCAGTTGGTCGCCTGCTTTGAGGTGTGCTTTGGAGCATTGTCCTCATGCAGCACCCAAGTCTTCATTGAATCGGAA